ATGCCAGTCTACGGGCTTTCTTTTACATGCAGTTTTACCTGAGTGATTCAGCATTCATCATTTATTCTGGCCCCAGAAAACTTCCTCATTGAAATGCGAAGCCAGTTTGAGGCAGATTGCACTACCTGTAGGTGCTAAACGGCACCTTACCCAAGTTTCATAAAGTCTTTCATGCCATGAGGATGGAGGGCAACAGGCATCCTCAGATCTGCTTGTGAACATCACAGACAAATCCCTGACGTATGTTGGGTGAATTAGGTCCCATGGAAGTTGCTGGATGCAGGACCCCCCCCTGAGCTGGAGCTGAATGCAGGTCCATGGACAGGGTCTGAGAGTCAAGCCTGAAGCCATTACTCTCAAATTAACCTTAAATTTAAGTAGGGCTGATCAGTTTGGGGTTTTTTTTTTTTCTTTTTTTTTTTTTTTTTTTTTTTTTACAAGTATCCTCTTCTTACAAGGTCTCTACCGTGCATTAATAATTGGGGTAAATCCCTCAATATCCTATTGATCTTGTATCAACCTTGATTTTTTCCAGTTAATCTAGGTAATGATAAGGAGTACTTTATAACTGAATAAGCTATTACCTTTTAAAAAAAGATGTGTTAAACTCTTGTTATCCTGGTGACTTTCACCTCTTTGTTTGTTTCAAAACACAGTCACCCATGTAATTAGAATATATAACATTCTGTCCTAGATCTGAATCCACAAAGCAGAGCTTCCTAAGCTGTTTTTCTTCACAATTGCCACAGAAAAGTACCTTTGAAAATGCTTTTAGTGCTGAAAGAGCTAGTTCACATTTCATGTGGGGAATTTTGCTTCCTACTGAAGTACATAAGAAAGATTTCAGCACCTGTTTCGTTATAGTCATTGCAACTGTAATATTTTAAGTTTTGCTAAGCTCTGACACAAAAGATTTAAAATACATAAAAAGAACCCAAACACAAAGGGCCAATTAATTCTTGGCATATCCAAATGCACTGAAAGGAGCTACCACGGGCGTGATGTTAGCCTCATGGGGATCTTGTATGTAAGCAAGCTGCAGGGATTTGAAAGCGTTTTTTTCTCCCTTCATTGGGATTTTCCTGCAAATGTTGACAGAATATGTAGATCTAATTGCAAAACACAGTATCCTGTTGTTATTTCCTCTGTTCTGTCAAGCTCAGTACTGCTGAAAGCCAAACTCAGAGCTCAGTTTGTGACTGAGAGTATGGATACTGATCAAGAAAGCCTCAAGGAAAGATTCTGTCTGTTAAAACAAGAGAAAATGGTACAGACTGTCGATACAGATATCCAGATAATGGTAGAGAGCAGGCTGATATATAGCAGAAAAAACGAAAGGCTTTTTATCTACTGAAACTCAAAGATCACAGGTTATGGTATATATATTAAATGAGTATTTAAAACTTAAATTATCTTTGTTTCATTTTTATGATTGTCTGACCAAATCTTCCCTTCATTCAGTAAGACTTTTTTTTTTTTTCCCCCAAGTTTTGAGTTTCATCTGTAATATTAAACTCTGACAGATTACTTTTGGGTGGGTTTTTTGTCATTGTTTTGCTTCCTGAAGTGGTTGATTTATTGTACCTTAGAGACGGAGGCTGGGGGTTGGAAAGGAGTTACTGTGGGAATATAACATCCAGTGGTTAAAGCTATGGTTCCTTTAGAAACTGCTCTTTCTGAGTAAACAGGGAAAAAAAAATTTCCATATAGATTCTCATTGAAAAAACCTCCCCAAGGTTATTATCTGGAAAAAGAAAAATTGGGAATGAAGTTGAAAGAATATTAGGTACATGCATAAGTGGATCAAAGAAAAAATATTTGGTGTTGCATTAGATCTTCCTTTTCCCAAACAGCGAAATGTGAAGATGCTACTAGTCAGTATATGCAAAAGGCAAACAATCAATGACAGGTTTCTGTCTGACTGTGCTTTCTAATTTGTTTTTGGAGATGGTGTTCACTTAATTATTAATAAATTTGTAAATACCTGAAAAATTGTTTTAACTACCTGTTTATTAATATTCTTAAATTCCATATAAAGGGTGAAATCTGCATAAGAGACTTTCAGAAACCTTTATGTCTAACTGGTTACTCTTCTATGTTAACTACATTTTTTAAAGTAGTTCAGGGCCTCAAAGTAGTTTGCAGCTGTCCTGTTACAAGTATGTGTCTATTTTTTCCCCTGGGATGAGGGTAAAAGTTTCCCAAGACTGTAAAAAGGCCTGAATCTCTTCTAATTTATACCTGTCTAAATTCCCAATGTGAGTCTGTTCTTCCCATTGCAATTGCAAATGTTCCTGAGTTTTCCTGGTACCTGTGAGAAAGGTTCTATAAAAATTCTGATCTTTTATAGGCAGTTTCTCCTCTCTCAGTAGGTCTAAACCTCTAAAATACCCATTATTACTCTAAAGGTGTATGAGCGTTTCTTAATTTCTTATAGAGAGAACTATGTTAAAAGTACACTGAAATTTCTTTTGCCTCAAGCATAAAAATATCAGAGGCCACCCACTTCAGATAAGCAACAAAGAAATAGCTCAAAAAAACCCAGCAGTAAAATTCTGTCTTTCTCCACTTTCCCATTGTGTAGGGATATTGAAACAGTGGGATATTGAAACATCGAAGTTTGATCATCTTACATCGTTAACAGAGGCTGGATAACATTACCAAATGAGAGAAAATCTTGAGACCACACTGTAAAGAATAAAGGGATTAAAGATACCTGATCTGTCTCTGACTCCCCATATTCCTGTACTGGGGCTGCTATCCCAAAGAGTAGGGATTGCACAGGGCGAGCTCCACGGACTGGGGAGCAGAGATGAGATTCATTTGGAGGAGGCAGGTGCTAATGTAGTTTAATGTATTATTTACATTGTCCCAGTGGCTTACTCTAGTATCTCCATTCATCTCCTTTTATCACACATCTGCCTGCACCTTCACACAATTCTCACAGGATGACAGCAGTTTGTTAAGCTTCATTCGGTGCAAAAGTTGCAGGCTTCAGCTGTCTACCAGTGAGAAAGTGGGTGGGCAGTTGCCACCGATTGCTTCATGGTTGACTTCATTGCAGGGACAAGGCTGACAATGCCGGCATTGTTTTATTTGAATATCACATTCTGAACTTTATGACAATAGAATTGGCTTTCCCATATCTTAGATTCATAAAGAGGGCAAATTTAAGGTTGTCTGAATGTTGCTGAACTCTACATCTTCATTTTGTACTTCACGGTGTTGAGGTCAACTTAAACAAGTACACAGTGAGTGTTTATAATGATAGCCATTGATATTTTGCTGTTGACTGGTTTGGGATTAGCTTTTACATAGCATTATCTTTACATAAATGAAATTTCAGTGAGAGTCAAGGAAAGGTCTGCTTGTTTGCTTTACAGAACATCCATGTATTTTTTCTTTCACAAAGACATTTAACCTGAAGTTAATTTAGGCTCTTTGGTGTGGGATTGCAAACTGGCTTCTAGTAGAACAGAAGATTCAGCCTTTGGTAAATTATCACACTGTTGAATTTCCTTTTTAGGAAGGAAATATATAGTAGTAGTCCTATATACCACTAATACGCTATATTCCAGTTGTATGCCAGTGATAACCTATATATCAGTAATATATAAATATATGTGTGTGTGTGTACACATACACATGAAGACCTACATGTGCATACTACAGGCTTTTTTATTTATTTGTGTGCATATGTACCTGAAATGAATTAAAGATAGAAGGAATTAATGCAAGTGTAAAGATAGTAATTTAAATGCTACAGCTACATTTTTTCCTTTCTGCTATTTACAAAACAAAACAAAAAAAAAAAAAAAAAAAAAAA